ATTTGCTACATTCTGTGGTTCTAATAGTTGAGCAATACACTTTCATTATAGAGAGGCGAAGTCCCCCCCTTCTACTTCCGCCCCATGGGACCTTATTTCTGAAAAATTATGTATTGAAGTCAATGGGGAGAGAAAGATTATCTTTCGATCCCGTTTGAATTGTGCCACGAATTACACATATGATGTTTGTCAATCTTAAAAAATCATTTCCATTTCAAAAAAGTCAGTTTGTCGTAAAACTGTTGAAATATAAGACTATGAAAAATACGCAACTAGAAAGACTACAAATCCCAGAGTCACGTAAGTGATGTCATTAACGTTACACATTACACTCGTGTTACTCACTGAAACCTTGTAAAGCCGGTCCCGCATGCTGGCTCTTATGGAACCGACTAACTCCCCTTTTGTGTATGTACAGCTCTCAACATGCCCAGACTTGTAGTGATTTTCACCTCTTTTAATACTTTTCGCCTCATTCTGAAAGAAAGAGGTGGAATGTGCTAACGTGATGGCCATCTTGGTGTTGGTGACGTATGCAAGACCAGAGATGTAGTTCATTGAGCGTTTCACACAAAATGTGTTACTTCACAGTTTTACGACACATTGTCATTTTTTTGACTTGCAAAATTATCTTTTAAATTGACAAACATCATATGTGTAATTCGTGGCACAATTCAAACAGGATCAAAAGATAATCTTTCTCTCTCCATTGACTTCAATACATACTTTTTCCGAAATAAGGTCCCATGGAGGTCCCCCGGAAGGGGAGGGACTTCGCCTCTCTATACAAATGCTGTACTGGCACAATGAAGAGGTCAATGGTACAACCACAACAAACTGCATTCTTTTAAAAATAAATAAAGATTGCACAAGTGATGTATTAGTGTCCGGTTTAGTGCACCAAGTTCCACTGGCGGATTGGGGATGGGATTATGGGATGGGAGAATTTAGTTTTCAAGTTAAATACTCACATACCTAATTGTATAGCTCTAAATATGTTTCTATTTTCACAAGGTATTTGTTTATATGTATATGAAACCATTTTATTGTATTTTAATTGTTTTACTTTAATGTAGCTTTAACTTTAACTAATGTATTCCTGCTGTCTTTGTATTTTGAGTCATTATTTGTTAATTTAGTTTGAAAAAATAAATCTGTAAAACATTTTGGACTGTTTTTTTGTTGAAGGAAACCATGAAGAAAAGGAAAAAGTAAGGACAAGCCCCTCACACATAATAAGGTTTTCCTGAACCAAATAAATGGACATCTCGTTCAATTATTTTCTTGTAGCTTAATGTCAAAAATGGGCTGTTTGCGTCATAAGGAGAAACCCATGAGGAGCTCACCTATGTTGCGGACCATGATGCCCTTCAGGTCGTCCACCTGCATCTGAGTCTCACTGACACGATTTGTTCCTTGTGGGTCGGAGTGGTGTTTCTGCAGAAAGGAAGGTACGAGATATTTAGGGAAATGGTGATTTCTAGATCTGTACATGTGTTATTTTATTTATAGACTACAGAAGTGAAAATCAGCCTCTCCAAATGTTCAGGTTCTTTTAATACTTACCATCTGGGCTGCCAGTGTGGAGGAGAACTCGCTATTCATGGCATACGGCAGCGCTGTTTGCGCTCGCGACCCGTACGTCGTTTGGAAACGCTTCTTAACTTCGCTGAGGAAGCTGAACGCACGCGACCTCTCAAAGTCCTTCAGCAAAAAAAAAGTTAAACAGTTTTTTTTTTTAAATAACACTCCTGTCAAAAATGCCTTTCTAAATTGTAACTTCACTGCTATGCTTCCTGTGTCTTATTTTACATGTTCTTTCGGGCTGCAGCACTAATGAAAATGTTTTCATTCTTATTTTTTTAATATTCTTCAATCATTTGAATTCATTATTAATATTAGCCAAATAATTGCAAAGAGATATTCATTGTGTATTATACTTATTGCTGCATTTTACTTGCACAATGATGTCTCTTATTGTGCTATTGTGTACCTATTTATCTTATTTTGAGTCTTGTAATGTAGGTTGCATTGTTGTGCATGACAATCAATTATTTACATTTTTTAAAAGGCTCAATACAATTCTTCTAAAACACAGGTTGGAGATTTGTTTACTGATTAAGTGACTACCTTATTTAACTATTCTTTTGTATTCAGCTAATAACATCAAGTGCATTTCAAGGGACCGCTATCACTCAACCCCAAATTCAACCCTAAAGAAATAAATACACAGATTTCAGAGATAAATTATATACTTACATCATCAGTGATACACAGGTATATGATTCTGTCATGGCAGATGTAATGAAAGAGATAGCTAAAAAGGAAAAAAAGACAGAATTACAGATATTAGTTAAAAGTTTAATTCAGTATAATATGGGCACAGTAAAAAAGAATTAGAAACATTCACCCCAGATCAACTCTAGTGAATGGACTGTCTGTAACTCTAAATTACTTTAAGACTTTTATAATGCTCAAATTGTGTTGTGACTTTGTGGCATGTGATTTCACTGTATTGTTTCAGGTACTAGTCTGTGTCACTCTCTGTAGGCTGTGAGCTTCCAGTAGAGCTTGTCACATGTGCTTATATAAGACATTCCACACTTAGGATACAAATAACCACATGATTTATACTTTAGCCAAATTATGTAATCATGTAGGCAATCAAAGCCAAAGGATAATAACTGGCTTCTCATGTTATAATCAAATATAGATGTATTTAGCTATGTTATTTTTCAATGTTTCTGAACATGTGTCATTTACTGTTATGCTGCTGACATTTTGGGGATTTGTGTAATCAATACAGTTCTATTCTTATCTTTTCTCTTGATTATTCTCCACTCTATCATCATCCTGTAGTTGTCTGGCCCTAGCTCTGGAACACTCTACCCCTCCATGTGAGGTCGGCCCAGACCCTAGGGGTTTTTAAATCTACACTAAAGCAATAAAAGCAAAAAGTGTCACAAGGATTTGAATGTGCATGAAAATGACCCTAAGTGACAAAAGTAACATCACGCTGGAGAATAAATGTCGGATCATATCTTTCTTCTTCAATCTTCTTTTATCCATCTTCAATTGATCAAAATTAAATTGAAATACCCGAATGCTTTCCAAATGGTGGTTTTGAAGCGAACTTGGCTAACCCAAAACCAGAAGATGTTGAGTTGAATAGGGTGTAGAACAGGGCAAAGCAGGAAATATGCATGTTCAAGAGCCTGAAAACAACATGTTCTACCATTTTTGCATGCTTGATTGAATTGACTCAATTATCAAAAAAGCGTGTCATCTTTTTTTCTGTCAACCCACTGAATGATTAGTGAACTTATCATTGCAACATTAATGTCATGTCATTCCGTATAGGACAGTATGACAATCTTACCAAACTGCATGATAGTACAGAAGAATGACACTAAAACGTCTGCACACATATCACCATTTCTTTCCTTCCCGGATTGCAACAGGTTTAGCCTGTTTCTGTGTGCCAAGTCTACATTTACAATTGTAGAATTACTTGTCAATCAGATAAAGGTATTTCAAGCAGTACTCTGTAATGGTTGGCCAGTGTTTTAACTCATAGTGCACTTTCTATGTACATATATACTGATCAAGACATCAGCATTTGTACATACTAATAAGTTATGAACCCTTCTGAACTGGCAGACCCATGTAGCCACAGCATATACATATGGTGCTAGTGTAATGGAGGGTGCATGTGTGGGTTACTCCTACCTTCCGTGGCTGTAGGTCAGTTTGTTATTCTCTGATGGGATTTTGGCTAATATCTGTTCAGTCACTTCCAGGAAGTTGCCACCACACCATGCATTCTTTGCCAGGATGGTGGTTCCACGAGCCACCACAGCAAACAGGATTGCCATGGCAACAGCTGGCGTTTCAGCTATTTCGCTCGCTAACAAAAATAAAAGAAGAAGAAAAAGAGTGAGATGTCACTGGTAGGATGGTGAAATAAATTGATTGCTCAACAGAGGAGGGCTCTGGTGAAACATTACAGGGCAAACAGAGAATGCACAAACAAAGCAATTCAAGTATTTGTGAAAAAGATTGTAACTACTGAATTATCTAGCTTGACACATGATACAGTTGTCACGAGAAAAGAAAACGAAAGCCAGATTAACGCCTGCTGGACAACAACAGGCTAGCTAGCTAGTAATGTTGTTGACCAATGTGTATAACAGCGTTGGGCAGCTAACGTTATATTAGCTATTTGACTCCATACTAATACTCGTTTCGAGCAACGGAACTGACGCTGTAAACAAAGATAAAGTAGGGAATCTATTACCTCGATGTGTCAGTGCTGTTCAAAGTAGCTAATGTATTGCAAAGCCCAACATCTAAAGAGGTTTCACCTGCTAGCAAGCTAGCTAATCCCTTTCGAGTGACTTCTGTTTTGCAAATCAATCTATACCGGAAAACGATTTAACTGAGGTAGGAAATGTAGTTCTTACCACATTCCTTATGCAGTATACTCAATTGTTTTGTTTCGTTAAGGAAACTACATTTTAAAACTTCCGCATATGCCGTGTTGTCGTCACATGTTTTCATACCTACGTCACCTAATAGCGACGGTTTGTATTATTTTAGCCCATTTCTCGGTCTTGCAGGCTACTTAATCACTGCCGCAGTTGTTTAATTTGGGTATTTGAATCGTCCTTGTTTCTTTTTCAGGACTGGTCTTTTTCTTTAACTTTAGCAGAATCTCGTACTTGTGGGGAACCACCGAAAATACTTGGTTTTAGTCAATTATTTCAAGCTTTGCCAAGATCCAAACGATTAAAAAGCGAGACCTAGTGAGCACAACACTGTGCATCTTTATCTATTCATTAAAGTTATATTTCTGAAAAATAAGATGCAATGCTATAATCTTGTCTGTGTTTGCTACTCCTAAACTTTGAAAAATATAGACAAATGAAAAAACAAACACCTTTAGATTTACAAATCCCCTTTCCCACCTCTTGCCTGTCAGACATTAATGAGGTAATACCCTCTTTATTGACGCACAGAACCGGAATATGAAGCATGGCTGCTGAAGGCGAAAAGAAACCTGTGCTGGAGATGGTAAGAAGGAATAATGCCTTGTGATTTGTGGCATTGTATACAGCTACACGTATTTGTTGTTGTTAACCTCTGACTGTAAAAAAACATTGAACTAAAAAACTATGGATAGCATTTCGCCCGTAAACGCCTCACGTGGGTAGCTACAGGAGCTAGCAGCAAATAAACAGTTATTACACCTTAAAAGTCTAACTCCTTTAAATCTGTTCCATCTAATGCAACATTTGTTGTGGACGGATATCATCAGTGGCATTAGTAAAGCTAAGCTAAGGTTACCTGAAACGTGAATAACTATACTTACTTTACATTTGCTAACACTTCATATCCGACTGAGAGTTTCTCCACTAGGGGGCAGTATTGAAGCCTTTATAAATACAGTCTGTGGTTGAAACGGACGTGTGCGTTGCCTCAGTTTCTTAGAATACTGTGGTCAACATGTGTAACTGATGCTTATCCATGTGCATATGTGAAATAATAAGTACTCTATGTATTGGCAATGCATAGTAGCTCCATCTACAACATCTGGAAGGGGTCCATGGTTCAGTTTTGAGTGTGATGTGATAAGGATATGTTGTGTTTTAGGTCCAGGCTGATGGAGGTGATGAGGGCTGTGTGACATTTGTGCTACATAATGAAGATCATACCCTGGGAAACTCTCTCAGATATATGATCATGAAGACGTAAGTGTTGTTCTTCAGACTCTGCATGTTTTGGTCACTGGTTCGACCTTTATGACATCTAGCCCCTGAAATCCCATGGGGCTTCAAAAGAACAAAGATTGTTGCCAACTCATTTGAGTATTTTGCGACTTACAGGTCATTTTGACAGTTGATCATTACGATATTTCAAAGGGACTTTTTAAGACGTAGTTTGAAGTGAGGTTGTATGACGTACTTATCAATAGTCAGTGTATTACCACCTGCAATAGATGTTTGTCTACAATTTCCTAGTTTGAAGTACCAGCACAGAGGAAAAGCAATATACTGTGCAGCAGAAAAAACTATTTTAGCCAACTATAAAGTTCACTGTAGGCTATATTTAAGAAATGTAAGCCACCTCACTCCATTGATGAAAACAGTCATGTGAATGCACAGAACCACGACTGCTGTCAGTTTTGTTGTGTTATTGTTTGCCTTTGGTTTATCAAACCAAATCTTTTTGCTATGCCCTAATGTTTTTAAGGTTTTCTATAACGTAATTTGAATTGACTTGTTGTGGGAAAATGCTATACAAAAATGGCCATGCAATAATCCCCCATTGAGGCAACAAGACTGTGGCATCAGTTTTTACATATTGATATATAATGTAAAAGTGCCTTGAATTGTCGGAATACCAAAATGGTGCTATATTAATGATATTTTATTTGCATGTTTTGCCATTACCTCCATCCACAGGAGTATATTATTTAGCTTCCTGCGGGTCTGTTTCTCCAAACTGGGGGTGTGCCGACCTTCATCTGGAAAATGACCTCATACAACCACACTTTGAAAAGTCCAAACTATCCATTTAAGCGTATGTGCTTCCACTGTGGTCCCAATGTTTTGTTCTTAGTTAGTCAACGTCAGCTGGGATGACTTGATAGTGGAAAGATTGTAATAGCGTCAACACCCTTCCACCCAATCTAAGAAAACATTTGATAATAACCTCAGATCATGTTTCCAATTTCCTTTTTTCCATCAGTGTGGACGTGGATTTTTGTGGCTACACCATCACCCATCCGTCTGAGAGCAAGATCAACTTTCGCATTCAGACACGAGGTAAGAGACATTACTAAACCCCCGCTACTTCATCTTCTTTTTCCTCTCCTTACCATCTGTTACGTTTATGTAAGCGTACATGCGCAGGTCGGTTTTAAGGCTGTTGCAGAGTAAACATGCTGATTGGAGTCTCGTGCTTCCACTTTGTCTGCTCAGACTAACAGGAAAGCTCAGCGGCTGACTTAACACAGATGCACAGACTCTTGTTATTGTCAACAGAAAACTCTAACCACTTGCCTTGTTGCACTAAAAACTGTAATCCGCTTTAAGCAACAATTCTGTTCTAAGATGTAGTTGTTGAACTTAGATTCAGGACGTCGGGGGGCTTCAGTACATCAAGACTCGATAACCTTTCACTGGTCCACTGTGCTTTCTATATTTATTCGCTCTTTCTTCTGTATTGCCCCCCCCTCACCATAACCACAATGAAATGGGTTTGTCATGTCATTTTGGAGAAGATGGCCATGACTGCAAAAAGCAGTTTAAATTTTTTTTAATTAGCAATTAGAGGCCCTTGACAAGTTACTCAAGCGAAGACTGATGTGTACAAATCTCGTGCTAAGCTTAATCGACATCAAAGCAACAGCAGTGTTTCTTTGCACTTTTGTGACCTCAGCTGCTGTGTTTTTATTTTTTATTTAAATGTCACTTATTTCCAAAATAGACATATTGATCGATTTGCAGCACTTTGATCAATTAAAACACAGAAATCAGACCTTCTTGAGGGCATTTCTACTGGAAATAATTATTTTTCAATACTTTTAAAATATCATTTTTTTGACTTTGGGTATTTACTCGATAACACTGATGTCTTTCTTCCTTCAATGTGATTTGCAAAGCAGTGCTTGCTCCCAGCAGAGTTCCCGTTAGAATATTTATTTGCCGGTCAAAATATCCATTAAAGTTTAAATCTTCTGGACAAAATTAGAAAAGTGCCGGTCAAAGGTCTTCTTTGTTATTTATTGAGCTTTAAAACAAATTGATATGATTCAATATTCGAATATATATATATATAAAAATTATTAAAACGAATTATTAAGATTAACTACATTATTCAAAAGTGTACAGTAATTTACTATAACAAGGGAATAATAAACGGAGCGCTCTCTCTCTCTCCTGACAGCCCGTCAGTATCATGCAGCTCGCGGATCAGTAATGAGTGACCGGACAGTAAAACTAAACATATCTATAACTAGTTTAGGTAGTTTGAGAGGTAATTAAAATAGCTACGTGTGATATTCTAACCTGAAGTGTGTGTTTTGTCCGCTCACCGCTGCATGTGATCATGCAGAGCTGCGTGTCGACTCGTCAGCAGCAGCTGATCTCTCTCTCCCGTCAGATTAGACTTCACTCGCGTTTATGTCCATATCGATCAGATCTAGCAAGTTCTAGCTAGTGATATGACTACCTGCTTATTAAAAGACACCTAAACAAGAAGTGTCGCTATGCAACTGGGTGAGGCCACAAAGTATAGCGCAGCATTATGCATTTGTTTACATGCCCACCGGAACCCAGAGGCATTAGCAACAGATCAACGCACAATCAACCCATATAGGACATCTCTTTCTCCACATTAAGTGTTAGAGATTAGAATTGACTATTCTTGTCTGTCACATAAGTGGCGCAACTGATGCGGTATTGCGCTAAAGGGAAATTATTTTGACCGGACATTTTGACCGGAGAGATTTAGATTTGCCGGTCTTCAGCATATTTTACCGGTCAAAGTCCGGTAATTACCGGCTAACGGGAACTCTGACTCACAGATGTCAATGCTTCTTGGAAATTGTGGATGGACGTGACGTTGATTAAACATGTCATCTGTTTTGATTAGTGAACAAGAGAGAACAGTATCAGTTTACATGCTGTAAACTGCAGATTGCTTGTAGGACATTTGGTGAAACTGGACTCCTACGTCATTTCCTGATTTCTCTAGCATGGCTGTATATAATCCGTGACTGTAAAGTACTGCATGTGGTCTCACACAGCTGATTAAGATGCAGAGTAAATCTGTAGGTCCTAGAGAGGGGTGACCGGTGGAGTGCGTGCTGTGATTGATTTTTTTGTTATTTGTAATGGTGGTGGTTTTCTTCAGAGGACTCTTCTGTGTGTTTTCAGGGGGGGTCCCAGCCACAGAGCCGCTGCGGAGGGGCCTGAGGGATCTCACTGAAGTTTCTCAACATGTTCTCAACACATTTCAGGTAAGCCTGATTATCCATCACCAGCCTCTCACTGAGAGAAACCCACCAGCAGTGGTTGGGTGCCCTTTTTATTCGTTTTTGTTTTCCGTGTCCTGTAGTGTGTGTTATATAGGTATTGTTTGCATAAAATCCCTGTGTTCCCCCCAGAGGATGTTTCAGTCTCACACATCCATCCGCCCCCCCCCCCCTCCCTGCCTGAAGAGCCTTCATTGGACTCCTTTGTTTATTTACTAAACTTAGTGACATCTCTCTGTAACACTTGCACTTCTATTGGCTAGCGCTCCAACATATTATACGTGATAGGCTAAGGGGCGGGACATCTCTAAGTGGTTGACCAATCACAACAGAGCCGGCCAGCTAACCATTCAGAGCAGACTGGGCTCTGGTTTCAGACAGAGGGTGAAAAGAGGTGCTGCAGCACAGGCAGTATGAGAAAGATAAAGAGCTTTTTGAAAATTAAAACATAAACATGTCACAGTGGAGGCACACAATGCTAATGTGAACCGGAAATGACCTAATACCATAATGTGTCTTCTTTAAATCCTTAAAGAGTGAATATCTAAACCACTGCCAAAACAAATAAAGGTTCCCATGAATGGTGTCTCCATAATATGTATTTGTTTAGTTTTGTAGATGCTCTAAATTCTCACACACACACACACACACACACACACACACACACACACACACACACACACACACACACACACACACACACACACACACACACACACTTACATGCACACACACACACACACACTTACATGCACACACATGCATTTACTTTGACAGGTTGTTAATTTCAGAAGCGTGTCTTACATTCACACCTGTATTAAGCTGCCAGAGGAGCTGCAACCTGAGATTGCTCTAAGCAGCTAGTAGTTACAAGGGTTTCAAAAGTCAAGGTTTATTCATAAAACCTTCCGCACTGTGGCCTCTAACACCCAGGCATAGTGTCGCTACTGTTACTAAATACTGAGGTCGATTCCCTTTTGTCAAGTAACAGTGTTGAAAGGGGGAGATGGAAGTGATGACAGGACTAATGGGACCGCAAGCTGCTTTACAAACCCACGTCCGCCGCAGCAGGGACTGAGCCCCAGTATAAGTGCTGCCAGCTCTAACCACTGAGCAATACAGTGGTTAGATTTGTTCCATGTTTTAAAATTATGTAAGTGTAAACAACATCAATATGATATGGCTTGATTATTTTAAGTAGATGCATGTGGGATAGATTCAGAATCTCACATTTTCTGTCAACTTGCCTCAAAAATCCTAATGCAGCAGCACCTTAGTGGTTCAAAAGGCTTGTGTACTGAGCAGAGAACCAGTGACTCTGAGCCGCCGCCCCCCCCCCCTACAGAGGAGGACCAAAGAAAAGCAAACCCTAATTGTCCACACGTGGTACAATAATATTTCCATGTGGGATACAGGAAGAAACCCTGGGCTGTTTGGCTGGCCCTTGATAGTAGCCTTTAATGAAATAAAGTCGCTCACCGTGCCATGTCAACTCCAATTCTGACTGCCTTCTCTTTTATTTTGTTCCAGGCACGAGTTGACGAGTTCAAGGAAAGGCAGGAGCAGCCCATGGACTAAAGAGCATCACATGTGGAGGGCTATTAAGATGTCAGACAGTTTTCGACAAACAAACCGGAAAGAAACGTGTTACCATGATCTGTACATTTGTTATGTTCGGGGAGCCCTTTGATCATGTCACTTTCAAACATTTGTACAGTTTTCTTTTTTCATATTATGTTGGGATTGATGTATCATAAATGTTTATGATACATTTGTTTCAGTCCTGTGTTGATCAATCCTAGACTTTTGAAGCGATTAGCGAATAAAAATACATATAACTGAGTCAATGTAGCACATTTTCTTTCCAAAATCCTGCCCTTTGACTTGAGATGGAATCATTATTTTCATATCCACTATTTTCATATTAACAATGTTTGAAGGACGTCCAAACCTTAAGTGCTCTTCAAGCCGTGTTTGTGGAGGAAAGGAGTGAAAGCTAGAATGTCCTTATTAGCAGAGGAATGTGCTGCGAGAGACTCCATACGGTGCAAACAGGCGGGAGAAATGAGGGTATCAATAATGAGGTTAAAGTTATTTTTGAGGTTAATCATATCCAGTTAGTCACATGTTCATGTAGCTCTCTCTCAAGACAATCAAAATGTCAGCACAATGCGCAACTATGAAGGACCCTTTTACTCCAGAAAACGAAGCACTTTGGGATTGTTAGGATCTGATAGTTTGACATTTTGGAAAAAAAAGGCATGTAGCATTTTTACAGACATCAAAAGATCAGAACCATGTTATCAAAGAGCGTATTAGTCTTTGATAATGCATTTCCACATACAGTGGGGAAAAAAAATATTTAGTCAGCCACCAATTGTGCAAGTTTTCCCACTTAAAAATATGAGAGGCCTGTAATTTTCATCTTAGGTATACCTCAACTATGAGAGACAAAATGAGAAAAAAAAATTTTTTTAAAGAATTTATTTGCAAATTATGGTGGAAAATAAGTATTTGGTCACCTACAAACAAACAAGATTTCTGGCTCTCACAGACCTGTAACTTCTTCTTTAAGAGCCTCCTCTGTCCTCCACTTGTTAACTGTATTAATGGCACCTGTTTGAACTCGTTATCAGTATAAAAGACACCTGTCCACAACCTCAAACAGTCACACTCCAAACTCCACTATGGCCAAGACCAAAGAGCTGTCAAAGGACACCAGAAACAAAATTGTAGACCTGCACCAGGCTGGGAAGACTGAATCTGCAATAGGTAAGCAGCTTGGTGTGAAGAAATCAACTGTGGGAGCAATTATTAGAAAATGGAAGACATACAAGACCACTGATAATCTCCCTTGATCTGGGGCTCCACGCAAGATCTCACCCCGTGGGGTCAAAATGATCACAAGAACGGTAAGCAAAAATCCCAGAACCACACGGGGGGACCTAGTCAATGACCTGCAGAGAGCTGGGACCAAAGTAACAAAGGCTACCATCAGTAACACACTACGCCGCCAGGGACTCAAATCCTGCANCATGTCTCTTCTACATCAACATGTGTCCCCACTTCTTCATGTCTCTTCTATATCAACACGTGTCCCCTCTTCTTCATGTCTCTTCTACATCAACATGTGTCCCCTCTTCTTCATGTCTCTTCTACATCAACATGTGTCCCCTCTTCTTCATGTCTCTTCTACATCAACATGTGTCCCCTCTTCTTCATGTCTCTTCTACATCAACATGTGTCCCCTCTTCTCCATGTCTCTTTACATCAACATGTGTCCCCTCTGTGGAAAGAGACTCTGAAAGTTTCAGGAACAAAGATTCTCTCTCTTTTTGATCCATTTCTATAAAAACCTGTCTGAAAATGAGCTGATCAGATTTTGGCCACTTTATGATGTCATAACGATGTTTTGTCTTGTGTAACCATTAGCCAATCAGCAACCAAGGTAACCCCCCCCCCCTTATCACCTGAATCTCCTCCTAGAGCACCATTGAGTTCTTTGTAACCAAATGTCTCTCAGAGGGGCGTGGGGAGGGGCTCCTTATTTTCATCTAAAGTAACAGACAGAGAATCAGACATTTGGAAACAGGGCTGAAACAGAGGGGATTATGGGTAATGCTGCAATGATCTGTTTGGGGTTTCAGCCAATCAGAGACAGGCTCTGTATATATCTGAGACCTATAACATATTGATGGAAAGCAGTATAATGGGGACCTTTAATAATTGTTTTACACCTCACATCAGACGGTGAATGTCTGACTACTATAAACGTTTCGTATTAACCTGTCACAGAGGACCAATAACAAGAAGAAGACTTTTCCACAAAGCCCTGACAAGCTTCGGTGTCGGTGTTGAATCCAGAATTCCCTTTGATGCTCAGGAAAAGAGCTGGCGGCGTGAGATTAAGGATTGGACACCTCTGGTCACAGATGATTCATTGAATTAGTCTCGCAAACCTCCAGCAGCATTCAGCGGTAGACTGCAGGGAGATGGATGAATAGTTAGCATAATTGTTATCACAGCTCTTTTGCTCCGGTGCATCTGTCGCTGTGTGTACTGTCTCCGGCTCTTTTTATGGTCTAATTGTTCTGAAACTGCCGAGTTAGGGAGTCTGGAAAGAGCATCGGTGTGATTTCAAAGAGACACCCGGCGAACTAGATTACAACAGAGGAGCTTGTACTCTTTTCTCAGTGAAGTATAAGGTTTTCGATAGACTTTAAAAACATGAAAAAGACTTTCTGGACGGCACAGAGTCTCTACATAAGATTTCTGGTTAATGCACTTTAATTTAAAGGACATTTAAAGACACTGAAGTGAAGTTTTATCCATTGCAGCCTCAGGAAACTCAAACAAAACAAAGCACTGTTTCAATTAACGAAACCTTTATTACATTAGGAAAGCACAATTCAATCCAGAACTCTTCGAACGTTCTTATTTTGAGCAATCTTGGATAGACGTTGGATAGGAAAAATCCAATGTAACACGTTTAAGCTCAAATCCCAATCTACATTAGATCTGCAGATACTTATTCTTAAATGATAAATAATATTTCCTCATGTATAGTATCCTTTTTCTCTCATTGTGTTCCTCAGGTCAGAAACCTGTTAGGTATTTTTACAGTTTTTCAGCCAAGATAACAATTGTGATTCATTTAAATGACTTGGGACCAAAACAGGGGCGAAAATTTGACATGACTCTAAAGGCACGGACACAACAAGCCGATTATCGGCGTCGGTGGGCGTCAGGCCGACGATGAGCGTCGACACACCCTACTCAGATTGGTGTGTCCCGCACCGTCGGGTCTTTTCAGCCGGGCCGACGCCTTTTCGGCCGAAAACCCACCGATTCAACATGTTGCAGTCGGCCAAAGGCATCACTCTGATTGGCTGTTCAGCTAGCGAATCAGTGCATGAGAAGCGAAACGGAAGTGAGGGACCCAAACAAACTATTAAGAAGGCAAATGTGAGATATCCTTTAACTCCAGCTCTCGACTCAGGTTGGGGAAAGCCCCGTGAGCTTCTCTCTGTAGAGGGAAAATGGAACGCACATGATATTTGTTGTTTGTTTGTATCACGCAGTCCGTCTTCCGGTTGTTGCCTCTTTTGAATGACGAATACTCACTACCGCCGCCTGCTGGTAAGGAGAGTTATTGCCACTCACGCATGCGCAGTTCGTGCGTAGTTCTTGGCCGTCGGCTGAAGTCTTTGCGGTGTGTTCCAGTGCGACACATGGCCAAGACGCATGAGACGCGAGGTGAAACAACAGTCGGGGGTCCGTCTGTGTGAGTTCTTTGGTGTCAGCTTGGTGTGTCCGGGCCTTTAGCTGTTGCAACATGAAGGAGTGCAGCTAGAGATTATTTTCATTATTGATCAACCAACCACTTTACTGATTACATGAAACATCGGAAAACACTGAATCATGTCCATCGGAGAATCCAATGAGACCTCTTCAAACGTCTTGTATTGTTGAACTAATGATTTTCAGTTTATTATGAATTCAATTGAAGAACAGCTGCAAAGTCTCTTATTTAAGAACCTTTAACCATTGATTTTTGGTAACACTAAATTTAGTAAGCGCTGCTTTAATAGAATCTACAAATGAATGTATTTCTTCATGAGCTAAGAAAGGCGTTTTTTATTAGAAAACCCAAAGAACCAGACTGTCATCTCGTGCAGAAATAAGAATTGACGTTTACAGTCTTTTAGATTGTCTAAGAGTTAATAGATGCTCCACTGAAGTTCACGATGTGATGAATGCCAGCAGGTTTCTATGGGTTTTGAGACGCAGGATTACATACTTGTGCAGCACTGCAATGTTTTTACTGTTACCCTGGGTATTTCCGTCCACTGTTCTCCTGCAGCACTCTCTCCTTTCATCCCCGGCTCCACTGCCCTAAAACCAGGCTGGTTATGCACAGTCCGGCTCCTCTGTGACTAAAGGGGCCAAATAATTTATGACTTCTGGGAGTTTCTGCAAAGTCCATTGGGGGTTTTTTGCTCTAAAACACAGAGCCTCTTGAAATGAGAGCCAAAAAATCTTATCACAGAGGCCGAGCGATATCGATCAAGCATCCTATCAACCTCGGCAGATATATTGCGGCCATTTTTCTGCTATGTGGGCCAGTAGAAATCTCTGTTATTGCCCGCTTATAATACAGTTGACAGGTGTTAATGAAATATGATGTGTCCCAGCCTGTCTCCCTGCCTGTAAACTGCTCAGTCGTAAAATTAACATTTTGTACAGAGACGTGACTCAGAGAATTTGAGCTGAATCCCTTGCTGTTTCTGACTCAGTAAGTAAAAGGGATCAAAGCTTCAATACTCCTCATACCTTATTTGTTTTTTCTTTAAAATATAAAAAGAGTAAGGACGAAAAAAGGGATTTCGAAGAACTGTGCCCTTCAAGAAAAAGCTATTTCAGAAAAGATTTCATTCATCCGATATCCGCTTTAGTGCAAATGGTCATGCAGAGAATATATAGAGATTATTCAGCAACTAAGCCTTGAGAGAGTTGAGAGAAAGCCGAGAGAATACCCAGGATACACCTGCACATCGGGCAAGGCTGAGATATTTCAAGTGTTTTATTCATTACATGGAGAAAATCGGAAAAAGAAGATTCATATATATTGTATCTATACGAAGCACACAGGCCTCAAACACATCTTGCATTTTGAAAAGGTTGCAGACAATCAGGAAATCATTTTATTACCTTTTTTACTTGTGTTATATAAAGACATTTAAATCATATTTCAGTGGCTATTAAAGTGCTTTAGTATCCCGCTAATGATTGGTTAATTAATCGACATGTAGCCGTAAAATAATGGTTTTAATCACTGGTTG